ATACGAGTGACCGTATTCTTTTTACCATTCTTACTATTCGTATTTCTTTTATTTAATAATTGTTACGGTTACTAATATCATCACTCGTATTATAATTGCTGCTATTACTACTGTTATTACTATCAATATCACTACTACCATAACTAGTACTATTCATTTTACTGCAAGTATTCCGATTACTATCCGCATTCGTACTATTCTTATTAATACGACGGCGATGACGACTACTACTACTACTCCTCTTTCTGCTAGTTTTGTTACTTCTACTACTACTGCTACTGCTACTCATGGTAATCGTAATGGTCGGAATATTACTGGTGTTGCTACTTATGTTCTACTTTTACTATCACTATGGGTACTGTTTTATGCACTAATACTATCAATACTACCAGCACTCCTACTACGACTACGGCTACTACTACTACTACTACTACTACTACTACTACTACTACTACTACTACTGTTACTACTACTACTACTACTACTACTACTACTACTACTACTACTACTACTACTACTACTACTACTATGATACCACGGCCACTACTACTACTACTACTACTACTACTACTACTACTACTACTACTACTACTACTACTACTACTACTGCTAACAGTACTAGTACTACTACATCTACTACTAAACTTAGTTCGACGGTCGGACCCTATATTGTAATTTATGTATCTTGCCCTTCGCTTTTTCCTCTTCGCCCTGGCCGAAGCCTACCGTCCCGCCATCTGTGGCGCCTCCTCGCCATCCTCCTTGTCTTCCTCGACCTCCGTCTCCTCCTCCTGCTTGCCCTCCTTGTTCAATCTCTCCTCTTCCGCTTCGTCCTTTTCCTTCTCCTCCACCTCCTTCTCCCCCCGCTCATCTCCATCCCGCCTGTTCTACTCATAATCTCCTTCATCCTGGCAGTGGGGCGCATGCCGATTTTCCTCGGCGCCCTCGCCGCCGCGTCTGGCAGGGGCGCGGTTTCCGATGGCAAAATCGCAAAGCCGTCGGGGCAACGGCCGCTGGGACAACTCCGCGAGCCGCTGGGGCGCGAGAGCAAACCGTTGGAGCCGACAAGCGACGACAGTTACAAGTTTGTGTTGACCCGCTCGGATTGCCAACGTGAGTTGCGGACCCTATCGGGAGGGAATTCGCGCCTGAACCGCCTGAGACTTCCTCCATATTCAGTCCAGAGGAGCCGAAAAGTGATGACAGTTACAGGTTTCCGATGACCCGTTCGGATTGCCAACGTGAAGTGCGGGCTCTATGTGGAGGGGGCTCTCGCCCGAGACTTCCACGCAATTCACTAACAGACGAAGCTCCTGCCGGAGATTTTTTCATGTTCAGCCCAGAGGAGCCGAGCAGCGACGACAAGTACAGGGTTCCGATCGGGACCAACATGAAATGCGGACCCCATAGGGCAGGGGCTCCCACTAGAGACTTCCCCGCAGTGCACTCACAGACGAATCTCCGTCCAGAGGAGCTGAAAATGACGACAACTGCAGGTTTCCGATGGCCCGCTCGGATTACCAACATGCAGCGCGGACTTCACAGGGATGAAAGAATCGTGGGAGTTCCTCGCAAATTACCACCGAATCGCGGCTGCCGCCTTATACTTCCTCACAATTTATTCAGATGCCGCTCCTCGATACTCAGGAATGGCGCTCCCGCTACATTTTGCCTGGCGGTTCAAGCAGAATTTACGCTTCAACGACCCGCCCGCTCGACCCGCCCGTCTGGGCCCGCCCGGCCGTCCAGCCCGTTAGGGGCTGCAGTCGCCGCTCGCTGCCCTTCGCTGCCTTCGATGCCCCTCGCTGCCCGTACTGGTTCCGCGGTCGCCTTCTCTCGCTGCCCTTCGTGGCCCTCTTGCTGCCCTCAGTGGCCCCGTCGCTGCCCATTGTGGCCCCGCACTATATGCCCTCCGTGGCCCCCGCTCGCAGTCGCCCGTCGTGGCCCCATACGCATGCCCTTCGTAGCCCCGCTGTCGCCCTTCGTGGCCCTCTCGCTGCCCTTCGTGGCCCCTTTGCTGCCCTCAGTGGCCCCGCTGTCGCCCTCTGTGGCCCCATAGAAAAATGCCCTTCGTTTCGTTTTCAAGGGTCTCACCAACCACACGTGGCAGGGAATGAATCTACCCCCCAAGAGGGGGTACGATCGAAGACGAAGAAGGCGGGTATCCAGGGCTTGGGATATGCATATTGAATGACATGCGAGCAACTAAGAGCGAACAGTCTTAAAATGATTGTTGTTGTCGTTGCTGCTGTTGTTGTAGTTGTTGTTGTATTTTGTTGTTTTGTTTTGTTGTTGTTGGTGGTGATGATGTTGATGATGATATGGAGGAGGAGGAGGAGGAGGAGCAAAAGTAGGAGGATGAGCGGGGCGGAACGAAGAGGAACGAGGAACGAGGGATCGAAGTTCGCTACCCGGGGCGGCTCGGCGCGTTGCGCGCGCCCCTCGCCCCTCCGCTGCGTTAGGCTGCTCCCGGAGGGCAGGGGCGAGGTGAACCCCAAAGGAGAGGGCCCCTCCTCTGCCTACCGGACGAGGGGCGAGGAGGGGTGGGGAGGATCACGGGGAGGAGGAGCGAGGAGGAGGAGGAACGCGGAGGAGGAGGAGGATGAGGAGGAGGAGGAGGAGGAGGAGGAGGAGGAGGAGGAGGAGGAGGAGGAGGAGGAGGAGGAGGAGGAGTAGGAGGAGGAGGAGTAGGAGAGGAGGAAGAGGAGGAGGAGGAGGAGGAGGAGGGAGGAGGAGGAGGAGGAGGAGGAGGAGAGGAGGAGGAGGGAGGGAGGAGGAGAGGAGGAGGAGAAGGAGGAGGAGGAGAGGAGGAGGAGGAGGAGGAGGAGGAGGAGGAGGAGGAGGAGGAGCGAGGAGCGAGGAGCGAGGAGCGAGGAGCGAGGAGGAGGAGGAGGAGGAGGAGGAGGAGGAGGAAGAGGGCGGAGGAGGAGGAGGAGGACGAGGAGGAGGAGGAGGAGGAGGAGGAGGAGAGGAGGAGGGAGAGGAAAAGGAAGAGGCGGAGGAGAGGAGGAGGAGGAGGAGGAGTAGGAGGAGGAGGAGGAGGAGGAGGAGGAGGAGGAAAAGGAGGGGGAGGGGGAGGAGGACAAGCTAGGTGCGCTCGCGTCATATCTGACATCCTACCCCTCCCTCCCATCCCTTACCATGGCGCAGATCCCCTCTGTACTCGCACAGTCGGATGTCGAGCAGGGCAATGATCCCGAAAGGGTACGTGATGCATTGTAGAGCACGGCGTGGCATGGCGTAGAAGAGCACCGCAAAGCGTAGTATCAACCTAGCATTGCATTGCATGCCGTGGCGTGGCACGGGAAATGACGCCAGCGCTGCAGCGGGAGCACGAGTCGAAACGAGCGGAAGCGCGGAAATGAGGCCAGCGCTGCAGCGGGAGCACGATTCGGAACGAGCGGAAGCACGCCGGAATCGGCCTGGGCGCCAGAAGCAGAAATCCAGAATTTTCAAAAGAAAAATGTGTATTGGAATGGCCTCGATTTTCCTGCGCCGGCCGAAACTGGCTCCGGACCCGGCCCGGGCGCCGGCCCGGGCGCCGGCTCGGGCGTCCGGCCCAGGCGCCGGCTCGGGCGCCGGCCCGGGCGTCGGAATCGGCCCGGGAGGCCTCCCGGGCGCCGGAAGAAGGAAGGCGAGGTGAATCAAGAGCAGGAGAGGAGGAGGAGGAGGAGGAGGAGGAGGAAGGAGGAGAAGGAGGAGGGAAGAGGAGAGGGACAAGGAGTAGGGATGAGGAGGAGGAGGGGGAGGAGGGGAGGAGGAGGAGGAGGGGAGGAGGAGGAGGAGGAGGTGGAGGAGGAGGAGGAGGAGGAGGAGGAGGTGGTGAAGGTGAAGGTGAAGGCGGAGGGGGATGCGGAGGTCCAATGAGGAGGAGGATGTCTGATGAGGTGGAGGAGGAGGAGGTGGAGGAGGAGGAGGAGGAGGAGGAGGAAGAGGAGGAGGAGGAGGAGGAGGAGGAGGAGGAGGAGGAGGGAGGAGGACAAGGGGCGAGGAGGAGGATGACGAGGAGGAGGAGGGGCGAGGAGGGGGAGGAGGAGGACCAGTGTAAACCCAAGGGTCGTCAGCGATGTTGGTATAATCCCTTCCTCCAAGCTCTCTTGTCATGGACCCCACAAGGGTGTATTGCCATTGACTACTGAGGGAACTGCCTCGTTCGAAGACAACCGTTTGAAGACCCTGGACCATGCCAAAACATTATTCTCGGGACTCCAACGCCACGGATCAACTTGACTGCTGTGTCTTGGCGATCGTGAATCGTGCCAGAACGCCACTCCTGGGACTTCAACACAGCGAATCAGCGTAACTGTGGCGCCCACATAAGCCATAATCTTTCCAAAACACCGCTTCTGGTACGTTGACCATTGGAACCCGTGAAACCCTTTTGCAATTTTTGACAAGGAATGCGCGCTGCGCTAAGGCGAGAACCACATTTTGAAAACGAACCACGCTTAATCCGTCAAGCTCTTGTACATTTTCAAAACGAATGTGCGCGTCCGCGGCGCCAAGGCGAGATCCACGTTTTGAAAGCCACGCGCTCTCAATCCGTGAAGCTCTTGCAGTTTTTTTATGACGAATGTTCGGCGCTACGGCGAGAGCCGCATTTTGAAAACCATCCCCGCCCTCCAGCCGTGAAGCTTTGGCATTTGTTTGTCAAAACGAATATGCGCTGCGCTATGGTGAGAGTCACGTTTTGAAAACGACCCGCCCTCAATCCGTGAAACCCTTGCGAATGTTTAGTACGAATGTGCGTCGCGCTATGGCGAGAGTCACATTTTGATAACGACCCGCCCTCCATCTGTGAACTGGTGGCCAATTATTAAGCTTCTGTGTCATCAATGATGGGGGAGTCTCAGGCGAAACGCCTGGCCCGCCCTTTCGACCGGCCTCGGGGTGCGACAGGGAGAAGTTATTTACAAGGAAAAAGAGGAGGAAGAGGAGGAGGAGGAGGACGAGGAGGGGGAAGGGGAGGAGAAGGAGGAGGAGGAGGAGGAGGAGGAGGAGGAGGAGGAAGGGGAGGACGAGGAGGAAGAGGAGGAGGAGCCTGAGCGAGGAGGACTGATGATGATGGTGGTGGTGGTGCTGCTGCTGCCGATTATGATGATGGTGGTGATGGTGATGATGATGTTGCTTCTGATGGTGATGCTGATGATGATGGTTATGATGGTGATGATGGTGATGATGATGATGGTCATGTTGTTGATGATGATACCGATGATGTTGACGTCGATGTTGATGATGATGCTGATAATGATGATGATGCTGACTGACGATTATGATGATCAACATGATGATGGTGATGATCGTTCTCCAAATAGACTTGCCCTATAGGAGTCCTAGCTCATCAAAAGTATTTGGTCTTTAGCCTCCCCCCTCCTTTTTCCAATGCCCCCCCCTCTTATTATTTCCAATGCCACCCCCTTCCCCCCTTTTTCCAATGGCACCCCCCTTTATTCCCAATGGCACCCCTCAGCTTTTTCCGATGGCGAGTCCTATGTATTCCTATGAATCGTATGTATTCCTATGCCTATGCCAATGCCTATATGCCAATGCCTATATGCCCAAGCTTACTCCTATGGCTTTCCGTGCTTACATGGCTGCTGGCTTCTTTTTGTTCGTTTCTTTTTGCTTGCCATTTCATGCTTTGCTTCCTCTCCTCCCGTCCTCTCCGCCTCGTCTTCTCCTTATCTCGCTCTTCTCCCGTCCATCTATCTATTTTGAGTCAATGCTGGCTGTTATTTGAATGACGATGATGATGGTGATTATAAAGATGATGCTGATGATGATGCCGTTGATGATGATGAGGTTATGATGGTGTTGATGATGATGCTGATACTAATGCTCATACGGATGCTGAGGGTGATGGTGATTCCGATGATGTTGCTGATGATGATGTTGCTGCTGTTAATTGTGCTGCCGCTGCTGCTGATGACGAGCAGGAGGAGGAGGAGGAGGAAGAGAGTCAGACGCTGTTTGTTTGCATCTTTCCTCGTGTCTTCTCGTCGTCCTCGTCTCCCCAAGTTCACTGTCGTCTCGGCGATCGTCGCCTTGTGCTTCCTGTCTTCTCGTGGTCCTTCCTTCTTCGCTCCTTGTGCCTCGCACCTGTCGCTTGTCGCTTGCCCCGCCTGGAGGGTGGCCTGCCCTCCCTGGTCTACGGTGCTTACTCCCACTTCGGCCATGCGCTCATCGCCTCTGCGTTTTGCTTGAGTGCATCGCTGCCCTGAGACCTCACGAGTCACGCTGCGCACTAGTACGTGTGGTCTTCGCGCTGAAGGGGTTGCCAGGAGTAGGCGCTTCGATCTGGATAATCTAGCGTATATCCTTATGTGTACAACGTCGGCATCGTGTGCGCGAGGTTGGCCGTGCTGGATGTAGATGCACCCTTTTTGGTGGCGTGTGTACGTGCGCGGCGCGGGCATTTGGCTGTGCAGGCGGTATCTAATGGCCTTCGGTCCATCCCGCCATCATGTCTGGGTTGTGGGTATGCAGCCTATTTGAGGTTCGTTGGGATCTCGTGGGAGGCCTCTTGGGGGGCCTCTTGGAGGCAGTTTGGACGCCTCTTGGGGGCTATTGGGCGGGGCCACTTTGGGTCTCTTGGGGGCCTTTTGGGGGCCTCGTGGGGCCTCCTGGGCGCCCCTTGGGGCCTCCTGGTGGCCTCTAGTTGGGGCGGAATGCTAGGATTTTCGGGCCTCTTTTGAGCCCCTTTTGGGCCCTTTATGGGGTCCCTTTTGGGGTCCCTTTTGGGGTCGTCTTGGGCCGTTTTGGATGCCTCTTGGGCAGTCTTTGGGCCCTCTTGGGCCGTCGTGGGGCGGTCTCGGAGGCCTCTTGGGCCGTCTTGGGGCGGTCTTGGGGGCCTCTAGGGGCGTCTGGGGGCGTTGGGAAGCCGAGCATGCGAGAACGCCCCAATCCTTCAAGAACCGAAGGAAAATTGACTGGGTAGGTCCTACTGGCCTCCTGGGTGTTCCCAACTTCCCTTCCAACAACCACCCCCCAGGGTATGTGTAGATGAGTTCTAAGCCTACGAGGCCTACTACAAAATGAACTCCTAACCTACGAGACTACAGAAAAACTCACTCCTATATAGCTGCGCGCTGATATTATCAAGCCACTTCCCCTCATTATCTGAATCCCCTCTCCCACGCAGTGATATCATCCGACTTCACGGCTCCTCAGGACAGCTGCATTGCATGGCATTGCATGCATTGCGTGGCATTGCCATGCCGCGCTTTCGAGCTAATAAACAACATGGGGGGGCGAAACAGAGAAAGTGTAAGAGCAGCCCGTGGGAGACTAGCGGCGACGTGGGAGACTAGCAGTGAGCAGGTTGAGGAGCAGCCTGTGGGGGTGGGAGACTAGCAGCCCGTGGGAGACTAGCAGCCTGTGGGAGACTAGCAGCCCGTGGGAGCCTAGCAGTGAGCAGGTTGAGGAGCAGGAAGGAGGAGGATGAGCACGAGAAGGATGACGACGACAAAGAGAGAGGGGCGAAGGAGGAGGAGGAGCGGG